ATTTTAATTAATTCTATTTTATTTCATTTAATTTTATTTTTTTTTATTTTATTTTATTTTATTTTCTTTTTTATTTCCTTCTCTTTTATTTTATTTTGTTTTATTTATTTTGAAATTGTTTTTTTTTTTTTTAAATTTATTTAATTTTTTATTTCCTTCAAATTTACTTCATGTAAGGGTACTTCATATATATTCATATATAATCAGCTTAATTTTAATGAAGGTGTGGTCTCCTGGAAATAGTAAATTCCGCATGCATAGTAACAGGAGATTTCATTCATAAATTGCACGTTTTCATTCACTATTCCTTGCATTTTCCCTAATACCCCTGCATTCGTTTTCTCCACAATCCAATTCGTCTACGAAAGGTCTCACAACTCAGAAAATCAGCGTTACCTGGATCATCGGTAAATTCAAAGGCAAAAACAAGGCTCACATGCATGGCCTTTTACCTTCATCCCTTCACATTCCAAAGTCACCCACAAGCGACTTCTACTTGAAGATCATGGCATATAGCATTAAAATCGTTACCTATTTTTACTGAGTTTTTGGCTCAACAAACACGAGCCAGTAAACACTAACACTAAATGAATAGAACTAATATTGATTGTTGCATATACTCGTAGTCTCTAAAAAATAACGCTTCACTAAATTTTTATTTTCATGTTTTTTAGTGTTTTGTTATTTCGCTGTTAAAAAAAAAACGTTTTGCTTATTTTCATTGATTCGTCTAGTACAAGCTTACTGGAAAAAAACTATACTTTTTTTAATCGACGAAAATGTAGGCTTTCAAATCATCGCGTATAAAATTTTAAGTATGATCACTCATAACTTTTGACAGAGTGCTGTTATTTTGATAATTTGAAATTGAAATTGAATGCAGAATGATTCATTGATTTCAATATATAGACCTGTATAACTTATTACCATGTAGTGCGTAGATATTATTCCTTTTATGGGTAGGCTGGTCTTCGAACCTCGGTTCCATATTAAATAGTAAAATAAATAAAAAGAAATTTTCGCCGTAAGGCTGGGTGCTCTTCCTGCATGTTCACAAACATTGTCCGCTCCTACCTCATGAGTATCTGAGGTGTCTCGCTTACAAGCGAAGCGTCGTATCGCGATTCGATCGCTTTCAATTATCGACATCAACTCGACTTCCCAACATTATTAAGATTTAGATAAGGCGAAACAATAAAAAATATTTTCTTTTTTTTGTTTTTCGACCTTTTCATCGTTTAATAATAATTGAAGAGCATACACTGCGCTAAATCTTTTGCATTGTAATTGAAACTTTTAATTGGCTTGCATTTTTACATTACTATTGATAACATACCATTATTTCAAAGAAAACGGAAAGAACTTCAATGGCAAAAAATTATGATGTCACTGGCGTAGACACCGCATACGCGCTTATAGCCGAGTTGTTCTTTCCTTTCGCTGTTTGGCGCCAATTAGAAATAGCAAATGCAGTCAGTAGCTGGACCATCCTTATTCATCCGGATCATATGAACTAGACAGAGTAGCCGTTGTCCTTTGATTCTTTCTTTCGAAAACTTCTAATGCCAGCTGTTTACATGTTGTCATCGTCCATACCTCCGGACCATATAGCAGGCCGGAACGTTGACGACTTGTAAAGTTTTATCTTTTTAATTACCTGTTCAGTCGATAGTACCATCTGTTCTGCAACAGTGATTCTGCGTTGGGTTTCAAGGGTGACATTTTTGTTGGTGTTAATACTCAAACATTCGATACACATACGCATACCACAAATTGGAGGAGGAGCTCGGTTGAAAATCGCTTCAGCGGTTACAAAGTGGCAATTATATATAATATATGTATATATATATAATATTATAAAAGCAGTCAATATATGGCCAATAGGTATACTTGTCCGAGACTATCCCGACAAACGTTGTGTGACTGACCGGTTTTCACCGGATATGCACTTAATATATATTCCTCAAGGTTTTCCACCTGATCTAACGGAAGTTAGTGGAGAAGTTATTGTCTCTGTGATTTTCGCCAAAGCATACGAAACGTGTGGTAGAAAAGTAACAAGTAGAATGGACTCGGTATAGGGTTTTCACCTTACTGAAAGGAAGATTAGTGGAGAAATTTGCACCCTGCTACCTTTACTAAGTAGCCCTTCATAGAATTTATGTGCATTTTTACTTTTAGGCGGCCATGTGTACATTGAGTATACCCAGCCGAGAAACTTTTTTACTCGCTGTAGTAAATTTCACAAGGACCTACGCGTTTCCGTTTTAGCCACGTCGGGGGTGATGCAAGCATTTATTCTTACGAGGACATCAATCGCCTTCAGCGGCAACTTCCCAATAAAGGTTCGGAATTTGCAGGAGCATAACCCTAAATCATAGAGTTGGTATCTACGCAGTGGGTCCCAAAAAGAGCTCAACACCTCGCTAGGCGGGTATGTTTAAAACTTTGCACATTTATAAAGCGAGCTATTTCGAACTGACACCGGCTCGCAGCCACACCTCTGGTTAATAGACGTGGCATAATCAGCGAACCTTTAATATGTTGGAGTAAGTCTATTGAATGTCTGTACTAGAAGGTTATGGTTCGTTAATGTTTTTATATTACCTTTAATTAGTTATTGAAATGTTTTTAGTACAATTCAACTCCAATTAATTTCGTTCTCCGAAATTTAACACTAAACAGTTTGAATACTTACAATAATATACACACATATTTGCTATTTTTATAAGAAATGTTACTGAACTTAAATAAGCCATCAGCGACCCTATAAAGGATGTTGGGCTGCACTTGATGCATGTCACCGTCCCTTTCGCATTGGAATTTCGTTACGATCGTGAAACCAATAATTTTCTAGAGTTATAATATTAACGAAAAGCTGTCGAAAAAACAACGTGTCTGGAAGGCTTTTGAATATACCACCCGAAAACCTAATAGCTGAAAACAGTGTATTCATAACTGCCAAAGCTACACATCTTAACTCAGTTGAAATTAAAGTAATATGGACGCAGCAGTATAGAGTGGCGGAAGAGCTATTTCAAGGATAGGACTTCACTAGAAATTATTTTTTATCATCAGATTAATAAGCTGGAAAACATACCACGAAAAGTTTACTGAGTTTCTCTTAGAGACAAATAGGTCAGAACCCACACTGCTAGTTAGATTGTTAACGGGGCATTGTCTGTTGCTGTCGCATGCTTTCAAATTAGGTCAGGTTGTATTGTAGATAAAAAATGCAGAAAATGCAGAAAATGCAAAAAAAGGGGTGGAACAGTACAGTGGTTAAAAGAACAGCAATGCTCTTCAGACTAGAGACGCAACCGGAAGTGTGGCAGAACATAATCTTGGACTTATGTGGTGCGTCGGGTAACACTATGGATGCAAAATCGTCTATATGAGACTCCCTAAGTAGGTTACCGTTAAACCTTACATAACCCAAATTTTTTTCCGCTCTTTCGATAAATCCACAAAGCAATTTTGATGCGGTTGGAAATTGCATATTTTTATGTTAAATCGGATTAAAGAATGTGGCAATTCCGATTTTGAAAATTGCGTAGATACGTATAGGCATTTCATATCGGCCTATACATGGGTAGATTTTCAAGGTGATTTTGAAAGAGTTAATCGAAGACTGTTGACTTCGCCTCGGTTTATACGCTTATACACTTAGTTGTCTGATTGCACTTAATACCGTGACATATAAGAGGAATTGCAAATTGTATACATACATACATATGTATTTATTATAAATGACGGTCGAATACCCGAGTGATTAGCATTGTACCATTCGGAAAACCAGGGTTGTTGTCCTGGTCTGACCAGCATCCAAAATTATTGAGAGAATGTTAACCACTCCGCGTGATTTCTGTCATGAAATAAAAGGCTCCTCATTAAAACCTATCGGCTGTTCGGAGGCGGCTTAGAATAAAATGTAGATCCCTTCATTTTTTGGGACAACATCAAGATGTGCACCACAAATTGGAAGAGGAGCTGGACCGAAATTCGTTTCAACGGTTATAAAGCACCATATACGAGTATATTATTTACACAGGAGATACTAAATAAATAAACCATAATTTAAAATATTTTTATTAGATCTTGTTGCTTACACATAAATTAACATTTAATTATAGAACGATAATAATAATAAGGCTGCATGGCTTTTGGTGAGAATTGATTATATTTTTTTTCTTTGAAAGCTTAAATTTATATAAATAAACCTCCGTCATATGCATAATCGGCTTTGTTGTGCATGATAAGACGGTTCTCAACAAAATAGAAACTATCCGAACGAGTTTCAAATGGACTGGCAATCATTTCTGAAACTGAGTAAAAAATAATGTTAAAGCAAATTTATAAAATTCAGAGCTTGGTAATGATAAAATAAATATACACCTACATAAATATGTCGTATAGAATGCATATAATAACTTTTTTTTTTATCGAAAAGTGAATTAATTATAAAGTACTGACTTGATCTAAGTGGAATTACCATCTTTTTTATCAGAAAAATATTCGTTTACTAATTCAAATGAATACTACAAAAGTTGTTGACGAAAAATTAATTTTGAAACAGGAACATAACAACAATTTGATCAACAATAAAGCAGTATACCCACATATTTTGTTAAGTGCTCCAAATATTAATGAAGGTAAATTTTTCATGGATCTATATACATACAATATATTAAATTAGCGCTTTGTAACCGCTGAAATGATTTTCGCCCGACCTCACCTCGTATATGTGGGTTTGCGTCTTGACATTTTTCCGAAAAATGGGCCGACCTACAGTTTATACTAAGCCGCCTTCGAACGGCTGATGCTTTCTTTACGAGGAGCCTTTATTTCATATCAGAAATATACTCGGAGGGGTTGCGGGTCGACCGCAATTAGAAAGTTTAGCTTAATTTTAAGTCAAATATATTTATTTTTATTTTTTTGGATGTTAGTACGACAAGAGGATTTGAGCCCGAGCTTTCGGAATGGCAGTACGCAAAGCTAACCATTCGGCTACCGCGGCCGCAAAGGTTTTTTACAAACTTTCAAACTTGTATTGAGAAGGGCGCATATTGCTGAACAAGTGTAAATATCGAGCTTTGTACATAAAATGTGAGCTTAAGTTCAAATTTAAACTTACACACTAATTAAAACCCGAGCTAGGTTATAAAAAGTTAACAGCTCGTTTTCTATATCATGTCAAAACAGCAATTGTTTGTGGTGTAAAATTACGCGAGAAAAAAAATGAGAATCAGAGGTGATTTCTTAACTTTGTTTGACTCGACTTGAGTGGTTAGCAGTGCGTGCTACTTTTTGCATTTCCTAATTGCAGTCGCCCAAGTAGGTTTTATATACATCTCCGAGTGTATTTCTGATATGAAATGAAAACTCTTCATAAAATTCTATCAAGACACATACTACAAACTGGGAGGGGAGTTCGGCGGAAAATCGCTTCAGAGGTTATACGAGTAAAGCGTCGTTCTGTGCTAATTGAACATTTTCTGGAATTTGAGGGCCCAACGAAGTTTTACCTACATATAAGGAAATGTAGGAAAGGAAATTTGGCCAAAGAGGTTCAGACCAACTGTTAAATTTATTTATAATCTGAATATTTTTCTACATATGGAGTTAATGGGGCGAAATTTTAACGGGAAACTGTCTATGTGCATACATCACCTTGTCTTATTGCATACTGTAGAATTGTGAGAATTGGCAACAAAATTTTAAACATGTAATTTTTTCAACATATCTAATATTGTATTACCCAAATATGTAACTTAATGTAATTATCATCATATCAGCTGATTCAAATATGACTTGCTTAGCCTTGCTTGGATATGTTATAAAGACAGTCTTAACGTTTCTAAAAATTTCCCGACATTTATGTACTAACTTTGTAAAGCATGACAAATTTGAATGATTCAGATAAATATTACATATTTCATTAAGAAGCCTTAAAAAGTTAGACAGCATTTCACTACTACTTTCTATGTGTAAGCAAGTTTGAGATAAGGCTAAACGAAACTCTTAAGTGAATCACCTACAGCATTTTAAAATCAAGTCTACTATTGATTTGGACATGTACGAGTATTTTATCATAATTTTTTTAAGCCGAAGAAAATTCGTTTACCGTCATTACCTAATTCTGAAGGAAGATTAGGAAACTCATAAATATGTTCACAGGAGTTTTTAGAGTAAGGAATGCAGTATCCAAATTCAAAGTCGAAGGTTTTTAACATCCGATCTCGGAAAAAATGTCGTTCAATCATCCGAAAGTTGTTCACAGGCTTACCGCCAACAGTAAATTCCACCCTGAAAAAAGGAAGAAGAAATTATACTTCAAACGTACATAATATTTTTGTAAATGTAAATAAGTACAGAAAAAAATATTATCACTATTGTCACAAAAACTGCTTGCTGTGTACGTATATACATATGTACATATGTTTCTCTTATCAGATAAATTTTTAGAATGAATCTATATATCTGAGCAAACGCAGAGTTATGTTAAAACCTCAAAATTCTAAGGCCACCTTTTATGAAGCTATGCCCCACTTTGCCATATTTTGGATAAGAAAACTACATTTTTAGTACTTATTTGCAATACTTATGCTTTTTTAATTTGTTGTCGAAAAGGTCTAATAAACCTACCAAACAAATGTTATGGCGATTAACTTACATAAATTGATTACTCATTTCCATAGCTATAACTCTAAATACCAATTTCAGTAAGAAATTCACTCGCATCACATCTTCTAGATTGTTTTTTAACAATGCTGCAAGACTTGTTACGTTGTCCTGAGGCAATTGCAAGTGCTGGCTTATATCAATCGGTACTAACTTTTACTGAATATGTATAATATATACATTCGTTATGTGGTAGCTACCTGGAGGTACAGCAGTCTTCCATAGTCGTGTGTACAGCGAATCACACTTCAATTATAATTATAATTTTTATATACAGACATACATATAATGATTTCGAAAGAATTTATGGTAATTCAGCTATTGAGATCGTTCATGTACATACGTGTATGTTTGCACATAAGTAGCTAAGGACCGGGTTTGATCTCTTTAAGATTTGATTCATAAGGAGCTTTAATATAGCCATCACATACATATGTACATATGTTATAAACTCTTTTTCTTTGTGGAGAGAGAGTCAGCAACATATCGAAGAAAATTGTTATGATTTGTATAAAAGTAGACATACATACATATGTACATATATGTGTCTATATAATCTACTTTATGTTCGGGAATAATATGACTCGTGGGCGATTTGCAGAAGCTATTTTAACATTCTCATGTTCAAATGAGAAATATTTGCAATCTGTTCCATATAATACAAATGTAAACGTATATATACGATGTACTGACGTCGTGTGATGTGATGTCGTGGCGGTGTTGTGTTGATATCAATTGATAATTTTGATAATTTGGAAAAATAATTATCCGGAAGCCGAGTGATTAGCATTACCATGGTTAAAGTCCTGGTGTGACCAAATATCCTAAATCTTAGAAAATTAATTTTTCTAATTGCGGTCGCCACGCGATATGATATAAAAGCTCCTCATAAAAATGTATTGACCATTCGGTTTAGAATAAACTGTAGATTGCTCTATTTGTTAGAAAAACGTCAAGTCGGAAACCGCGAATAGGAGGAGGAGCTCGGCATATCGCTTCAGCGGCTACAAAACGCCATATCCGAATTCAGAAGCAAAAAATTAAATATAAATGTTTTGTTATTTTTATGGATTTTCGTCCATGAAGCATTTAGAATTACAGCGTACTATAACTACATAGTTAGTCATGACCTTAAATTTTAAATATAAAAACATGAAAGAACACACTGTTTAGTAGAAAAAATAAAGAACAGATTCAAATAAAACTGCGGAGACAAAAAAGCCGTATGCAGTATGTAGTTTATCTTTCTTTCTGCGCCGTTCTTTGTAACCCTGAACACAGTGGAATGCATTTCAATTCAATGATATCCTTCGTTTCGCTAATGAGGAAAATTAGCTCAACAAAACTATTTTGCTCGTTTCTAAACAAATAGTTAAATATATCGTTCATTAATTAACTTTCCACTCATACATTCATACATACGTATATTTGATGATGTACTTACGTTGCCCCAACGTTCTTTAATCCGAGAAAAGCTGGCGTAAATTGGTATCGTACATAGCGTCCCGCATTGGCATCGACTGAATCGTCAATGGACATTCCCTCAGCAGCTTCGATTAATTTATCTTCCAAATTAGGAGAGAATCGGTCACTTGGTTTAGCTATTTCAAACAATATTGCACCTGAATCCAGGTCACGTATTTTAAACCGCGTAAAATCGATATCGTAGATGTTGTCATGGACAGAGCACAAATAATCTTCAGTTATTTTATTTAAGTTAAGAACATCGTTTGGCGCTATGAATTTCCCCAAAATTGATGTCTTAGAACTTGTTTCTCTTCCATCTTTGGCGTTGATGTCAGTGTTAGATTGCAAGGAGTTGAGTGGTTTACCAACGACACTCATTTTATGAGTTTTTTTTTCTAGTATATAATCTTATTGATTAAAAATAAAAAGATTTAGTAAAATTAGCAGCACAAAGTATTTGTCAAAATTAAATGGCCTGAAATTAATTCCTCCACTCAAATTATGAAAATTGCTTCCCGATATTGCTTATAAACCAAAGTTTAGATAACAGTACAAATTTATTTTGACTTTGATTTATATATACATAAGCCACCACATATGCGCATGCTTGAAAAACGTCAAGTTCCTGATTATCTATTATCGCTTAAGTAATTTTCTGCTAAGCTTTCTATCAATTTATATTTATGATTGCCAAACAAATGAACTTTCGAGCCGCCTCCGAAAGGTTGGAGAATATTTACATATAAGAAACACTATTTTTATGCTAAAGGTAAGCTCGGGGTGGTAATAGCCAACCATCGGTTCGGTCTCTGGCTCAGCCAACATTTAAAATTATAGGAAATTGCTTAGAATAAAGAATTAAGTTCATTTTTGTAATTACAATCGCCCACTATGGGGTGAATGGTGCTCAAAGGGAGATTAATTCTAGTTACAGAAAATTTATTTTTTTAGTTAATTAATCATAAAGGAGTAAGAAAATCATTATGGTTATTTGATTGATCTTTTTTTTTTAAACCATAAAAAACAAAAATATGGTGAATATCAAATTTTAACAATTTTTATTTATTTAAGGTTGAAATTTTATTTAAAATATATAAACTGCTTCTTCACAACAATAATCATATTGTTTATCATAGTAATATTCGTTTGAATTGTCATCTTGACCTTCATCATCATCAACAACTTCATTATTATAGCCATTCTCCATAACGACCATCTCTTAGGCCTCTCCCGATAAATCCTGCATTTATTATGTGTCTTTATTTGCTTTTTTCCTGCAGAATTTGCGAGAAAAATGTCTTCTAAATGTCTTAAAATCTTTGTTTCGAGCTTCCTGTGGCTCTTCTGATAATTGTCCGATTGGTAACAAGGCTTCGGATATTATCTCTGGTAAATGGATGAAATATTTCATATTTAAAGCGTAATCACGAAACCTCTGTACGCCTATATCCTGACCACTGGAAACAACTATGAGTATTGTATGCATCTATTTAATCAAATTTATATCAACTTGAGTAATTGCTTCTGACATTCGGGATTTTGAAAGAAACGCCTGGAAGTATTGCCATCATTAGAATTTTCAAAACTAAGTTTCGGTTCATCAACAATCAGACCAATTTTTTCTTTAAATTATTTTTGAGCACGTGCTTTATTTTACAAAACTAATAGTTTCCCGCTTACTAGCCGAGCTTGCCACTATTTTAATGCACAATCTATGCGATAAGTGGAGCAGACATTCAAAGGACCTAACCCACCCGAGAAGTATCGAAAGCCTAAATTGTAAATTTTCAATTTTATAAGAATTTTCCGAGCAACTCCACATATATGTATAAATAACATTTTTGTTTAGATATTGTTACTGTTAATGCATTGCATACTTTTCATTCAACCATAGGTAAAATTAAATTGTGTTTAACTTCCAAATTATTATTTCCATAAGGTATTTAGAACCGATTTAACGAGATTTTGTATTTCTATACGAACTCTTTCGTTTATTTTGCAATTTCTGTATTTTCTCTGGTTAGTTTTCTTAAGAAATTCGTGTATATTTGACCAGGCGATTCGCATAAAGAAATGAATATACTGGGAAAATGCGCAATAGTGGCCCAACTTTTGCTTACAAAAAGAAACTTAAATATTCAGGGTTTGCTTTACCCCGCTTAACTCACAACCATATGTTTGCTTTCGCCAAAAAAAATACTTACAGATACATAGCAACCAAATGGAATCACTTGGAATTTACTAAATTACCTGAACAAGAAGGTTCCATTACATAAGCCACGTACATCACTGTGTGCATACAAAAAGAAATAATCTTGCTATTTTCAGAGTATACGAGGTGGGTCAAAAAGTATCGCGAATTTTGAATTTTCGCGGGTTACGTATAATCGATTTTTTTGTGGCGTTATGTTGGTACTCATGTCTGTCACTTATTCCGACAAGCTCGGCTATTTTGTATGTTCACTTAATTGTTGACAGATGCTTTGCTTGTTGCTTCCACGTGTTTTGGATGGTCTTCGATTTTTACCTGTTCAAAAAAATGGATCAAAGAACCTGTATCAAATTTTGTGTGAAAAACGAAATTAAGTGCGCGGATGCATTCCGAATGTTGACTGTGGCATACGGAGAAGTTACCTTGAACCGAAGCAACGTTTATCGGTGGTAAAAAATGTCCTCAGAAAGCCGAGAAAATATGAGCGAGGAAGAGCGTGCCGGACGCCCGAGAACTTCAACAACAGACGAAAAAATTAATTGTAGGGGCGTGGTGCATCATGAGTTCTTGCCACAGGGTAGAACGGTCAATAAGGAATATTACCTGCAAGTTATACGCAATTTGCGCGAAGAAATTCGCCAGAAACGCCCGGATTTGTGGAAGAACAAAAATTGGCTTTTGCACCACGGTAGCGCCCCAGCTCACACATCGTTGCTTGTGCGCGACTTTTTGACCAAAAGCAACACACTAATGATGCCGCAGCCACCGTATTCCCCAGATCTGGCTCCCTGTGACTTTTTCTTGTTCACTAAACACAGGAGGCTCATGAAAAGACGACGTTACGCTACGATTGACGAGATAAAGACGGCATCGAAGGAGGAGCTGAACAGATAAAAAAAAGATATCTTGAAGTGCTTCGAAGATTGGAAAAACCGTTGGCCCAAGTGTATAATATCTCATGGGGATTACTTTGAAGGGGACAAAATAGATATTCATGATTAAATAAATAATTTTTGAAAAAAAAACACAAAATTGAACACACCTCGTATTGCAAGTTTTTTGGTACGTTTTTTGCCAAATATTTGTTCAGCTAGCCAAAATTTTACTTGTATCTTGAAATGTGTTTTTTGAAATAATATCCAAAATCGACACATTGTGTGCTATTCGGCGGGGAATGAAACAATAGCCATTTCATGAAAATGTTCATCAACCGGAGATTGTTAAGAATAAACTATATTTTACTTTTTACTTTATATTATTTTATTTATTTTTTTAATTTATATTAGCCGAAAATCCCTTCAGCAATTGAAAAGCGCCAATTATGTACAAATGTATGTATAATAAGCAGCTAACAAGACATTTATTCTGATTGAAATTCCCGAAAATACTTCAGGTATCTAAGAAATAAAATATTAAAATTCAGATTTTCAGTGTTCCTCCGGTGATGTTCTCCAGATTCCGTTTGCGCCTCTGGAGCCCAATATAAATGTGTGCTTACTAGCGCTTTCTTTATATAATTATATACTCCGCCCTTAGCTTCGACTGGCAATTAAGTTTTTCTGAAAAAAGGAATGTTATCGCTGCAAGAATCTGATCCGGCTCACACTTACTAGCCATGCGCCGACCTTCAGAGACCTCTGGCGAGTATGTGTTAGTGCCCAATCATTTGCCGCCGCCCCCTGTACAATGTACAAATGGGACGAATGGATAGCGCAGGACACCACGGCACACCAAATTAAAAACCTGTTCGCTCGAATCAACTTAGAGCCCTTTTCATAGCATGGCGCTCTCTTTAGGAGGTGGTATTTCGTTCTGCTCCTTTCAACGTCAGGCTTAACCAGGAGGATATGTAATTGCCGCTGCTATAACCGATTGGTTAGCATTGTATACTGTCACTCGGGAGGCAACCAACAACCAGAAATAAAAAATAATAATTATGTGTAAAGCAAATTTGAAGTTCCCTAGCTGATTAGTGATTGATGGAAAGAATGCAGGCATGAATATGTATATGTATACGCAAATAGTTGTAAAATTTTCATTTACCGTCAGACCGAATATTTCCAGAGAACAACCACTTCCGCAACTTGATCACTTCTATTATATTTCTCCACGAACGTTTCCGTTCGTTTTGTGCGCCACAAAATGTCCTTAATACTTCGTTATAAACTTCTTATTCGTTCTAGCAGAAGTATCAACGTTACGCATTACAACAAAATCGCCTATAGCAGCGACCCTGATATGTTTAATATCTTGGCTTAACACGAATTCGTCAAACTTCTAAGAAATAAAGCAAATCTCTGTCTAAAATCATACATCCGAGAGGACTATAACAACCGGAATATTTGCCTACGGTCGAAGTCACTTCGCGCGTACTTGTTGAGTTTGTTGGATTGTCTGAGATACCTTTCTCAAGCAATTTTTTTTACAATTGTTTCTTTTCATTTTTTCTCTCTGTTCTGCTTTATTTTACACTCGCAATTCTCCGTTCACTTTGCGCTTTTCAATATTTCTAAAATATAAACACTATAAATTAAATTAAATAATATTCAAATTTTTTGTACAATGTGAGCTGATTTTGGATTTCTTTACTAAAAATCGGTGACGATCAAATGAGCCGCAAAACATTGCTAAGCAAAGTTGTTGAAACGGTCACAGCGACGATAAAGCATTCTTAAAATTCGGAAAGCGCCGACGATGTACAAAATTAAATGTTAGCCGCATTTGAAAAGCTGAACGTTTCCGGCAAATTCGGAAAAGGATCTCCAAACTCATTTTCGTATTTCAGTTATCCTTCCTGAAGATTTAAGCGATAAATTATTTCCAATGCAAGCTTTACATAAATCTTTGTGCTTTTAGAGCACTATTAGAAAAATTATATTGGTATCCTTATGCTTTCATGGCATATTCCACTTGATGTAAGCGCTTAGACCAATTTGTATAGTTAACTCTTCACTTTGCACCGATGTTATAAACAACGACTTCACTTTGTAAGTAGTCAGCGTTGTGTTGCCTGCTCCCTTATACACCTCACTCATTGCTCGTACTCAGCTCTGGTAGGTTCTTACGATATATATACTCGTCCTCCATAATGTGACAAATTCGAAGGAGATTATCGGCCTCTCTTTTTCATCTGGCATTCAAAATGGTCAATTTCATATTTGCCAAATCCTTCGAATTTGTTAAATAGAAATCAGCAAATGTTTTACAACTTCTTTATTTAAAATAAATTGTTTATTTTTTTATTAAAAACTTAATAATAATTTAATATCAACATTGTTTATTACACAAAACGACTTATTTTATAATCCTAACACTTTTATTTTAACACAGTTTATTCTACTAAAAAGACACAGTTCGCTAACTATACAACTTTTTGTAAGCATGCAGTTCTACTGAACCCAGCAGTGCGGGCTTCGCTTTTTTAGCCCAAAATACAATAGCACTGCGGCAGTGGCAGTGGCAGTGGAACTTTTTAAAATCAGCTGTTGCTGGAGTTGCACTATGTGTACTAAGAGTACAGAGCACAAAGAATTCAGGCGTATGAGATATATACCGAACCAGAGCGCCAAGCATATGCAAAAGGCTGCAACTACCCAACTCACTCTCCAGCCGTCCATAACTGACGGCGTTAGTAGTGAAATACATACACGAGCTATCGACGCCGCTGAGAGCGGCGAAATGTTTTTTCCAACAAATGGAGAGCCTACCCAATGACAGTACGCAATGCTACCATATGCTACCCCGCCCGCCACATTACTAATCTCACACATTTACGATTTTGCTGAATCAACCTCGGTGATTTTCTGAATCCTTCGGGTACGATCTCTGGATTGTTAAATAAAAAAAACCGCCAACCTAATTTGCAGTTTCTTTCGTTATAAAGAATTTATCTAATGTCCTTTATTCACTCAGTAATTCGAATGGCAGATGAAAGAGAGATGCCGATAACTAGTTCATTCTAGAAACGATGAAACAAGAACCTTCGATAGCGAACAAATCGGTGCTTCTACGCTTTCGTCTGCGAGCAGCCGACTGCTATATAAAGGCGACACTCAGCTGCAAGTCAAGTTAGTGACAAAGCGAACTGGTTGGCGTTAACATCAGTGAAGTCGTAAAGTAAACACGTAAGAGATTACATTTAAGTAAAGTAAATAGTGAAAGTTGATGTTAGTGATTGTAAATAGTAAAGTGCATTATAATTGAATTGATAATTATTGAGGAAATAAAGGACATTAGATTAATTCTTTATATCGAAAGAAACTGCAAATTAAGTTGGCGAGTTTTTATTTAACAATCCAAAGATCGTACCCGAAGGATTTAGAAAATAATCGAGGTTGATTTAGTAAAATCGTAACATCGAACATCGTAATTTGCCAAAGTAATTTAAAGAACGATGCCCTGAAAACCCATTTTATTACTGATGTGTAGGTATTCGATATTCTTTCGCCTTCCTTAGTTCATTTTCATTGTACTCACCCTGTATTATTATAATTGATTCGAAGTTGAAATGTTGAATCGTGCGTTCGAAGCTATCGTATACACAGATTTTTCCCCGTGTTGGCAATTGTGATAATTGATGATGTTTATGCAACCCTGGCATTGGAAAGAAGCCATGTTTTCAATTCATTTGATATAAATTTACTTAGATTTTCTGAAAATAAAATAAGAAGCACAAATCAATAAACTTGTGTGTATCTCATCTTCTGGGAACGTACAGAGCGTCAGAGGGTATTAATTAGCTGTGTTTTTACATTTCACGCTGACGAATTATTGAGGCTGAAGTTTCATCAAAGTGGCTCCAAAATATATCATCTGAAAAAGTGCAATATTTTATAAGTCCCAGGTAAGGATTCATCGACGGTTATCACATATTTAAAAATAAATAGTAAAAATATGTGCGATTTCCAGAAATAACGTTTACAACCAAGTTGAGACTTAAAAAATTAAAAGAACTTAAGTATTTCCTAAAAGTCCTCCAAGTTAAAATGTCCGGTGTATAGTTGTGTATAAGTGAAAAGTCGAGAACACTCAAATCGTGAAAGCGTACATTTGTGGTTAGTAAAAGTGCAGTGTCGACAAATATTTTTTCGGTATATCGCGCCGGTTTTTGTAATGAAGGTTTTGACAAATAAAAGCGAGATATGCAATATGTGGCAAAAAGAAGGCATTGTTTTGTATATTGAAGGTAAGAATTGAACATAGACCCGATGGATCTTGTGCTTGCTCTATGCAAATAACAAAATTATTATTAAAATTTAAACGATTCAAAGTTTTTGATCTAATTAAAAACGACTTGTTCTGGAAGTAGAAACTTGCACCAGTTTTATATCGATTATATTTTAAATGAATATGGACAACGAAAGAAATTACCGAACTTTCCATTCAAACAACCTTCAATATTTAACACTCTTTGGAAAGTATCGTTTACTTTAAAGTTTTCATTACAAGGAATATAAATTGAACACATATATAAGTTTCGAGAAATGCAAACCTTATGGAAAAGTTTGAAATTCATGACAATATCGAACTGTATAATTAGAAGTAGAAGAAAATTAAAACGGACCACAACAATAAATTGAATACATATGAGAATACCTAATACTGTTATGGCATTCAATATGTTTTCTTAAACTCATCTATGATATTAGTGGAAAGGACCATTTGAAAATAAGTTTCCTGATCCGGAGCAACAAGTTCTAGAGGTCCATTATATCAGAGCAGATTACACCAATTATAAGTATACGACTTGATTTTCATACTAAGCTTCGTTCGAACGGCTGTTGAGGAACTTTCATTTCATGTCGGAAATGCGCTCGGAGGGGTTGGTAATCCCTGCCGGGGGGCGACCGCAATTTCAAAATTTAACTTCATTTTTTTTTACTAAGACTAACTTTTTATAACATTTCGATGTTGGTCGAACTAGGATTTGAAGGCTGGCCTTTCGAATGAAAGTTCGCAACGCTAACCACCCGGCAGAAGGGAATTTTATTTACCTCCATTAGGTTTCTCGGTGCCCAAAAAAAGCAAAATGCTTTAACAATTGCACAAATATTTTTGCACACAAGCCTCAAAAACAGGGCTATCCGTATCATGCCGTTAATTCGTTAAAAATCCAGGAACATATATGAAAGATGATTGCATCATATTGAAAGTCAATGCCTAAATCCTTCTAAAGAGCGATCGTCAAAATTTGCATAAACTTTATTTTCTTAAATCGCTTGGAAGGAATCCAACACCCACCAATAATAGACGAAGTTCTCGTGTTACCTCACGTGTAGTAGACCCAAATGGAATATATTCAAACTTGTACCCGACATACCTAACATACATACATAGCTACATTCAATGATCCCCCACACCGCACTAACAATATTTATGCATTCCCAGTAAAGCCTTCTAATACCTATCTTCCTCTGATCCGAACCAGTCGTTATAGATTGTTGAAAGGAATTTTTTTTGTTTGCTCCTACGCGAGATTGAGCACCATGCTACAACAACAAACACAAAAGATAACAAAGGCAATAATGCAATAGTTGAAGGTTGGATCTTTACAAAAATATTTACAAGAGGAGCATGATTCTATAATATCGTTTTTTTTGCAAAGTGTTTACAAAAACTAATTTTGAACAAGGCTGCATCGTTAAGAAAGAAATGTCGTTAGATCATCTGGGATTTAATCGCTTGGGATCATGGGCAAATGCTATTTATCCTAGAGATAGGGGGCTATATAATTAGAGTATTAAATTATACAAGCTGTCACTTCAAAGTTCTTGTATTTCATATATTTAATATCAATTGTATAAAATAAAGATAAACATTAATGTCAACATATAATCATTTGAAAAACACTTGCGTTTTCTAAAAGTGACATTGTATATACGCCATTTTACATATTCGTCTATATAGAGAAATATTAAACAATTATATGATTTAATTCGCAGCGCCCCTGATTTCGTATAAACCAAAAACATTTTTAGGAAAAAATGGATTCGGATGATTCAAATGGATCTTCAGCATCAAACTCGTCATCGAGTTCGTCGGGTAATTCACGTTCCTCCCCAGAACCTGTGAATGAAACGGAAGTTACAAGTGCACCCAATGTAGAGACAAGCGAGCATGCAGAGGAACAGGGGCAATCAAGGCCGAATTCATTTTTTTTTAATGTTGGGCCGAGCTCCCCGCACTCTTCCTCCAAGTCTGACTTCAATTCGTCTTCGTCTTCTTCATCTAGTGATAATGAAAATGATGGAATAAAATCACCTTTGGATAATTCATTCACCAAAAGTAAGTTATTAAGCTTTTTATTTTGACTATTTTACTTTTACTAAAGAATCACTTTTAAAGGTAAGAATAAGAAAATTAAGTCTATTACGAGCACCTACGTATAAGTTTAAATTTGGCTTGATTGTAATTTTCATGTGATAATAGTTGGCTGAAATTTTCAATCTTCCACAAGAATACATTTTCACCGAATTTCATCACTTGAAGTTCATGGTGAGGCGAATTAAACGGGTGTTAAGCTAAAGAGTTTTCAAAATATCTTGTGGATAAAACATTAGGCTTTTCTTGTATGACTTTTGTCTTATACTTCTCGCAATTCGTTTTCAAATATAAAATTAAAATAACAATATTATACCGTGTGAGCTAAATGAGACAAAAAGTAATTTTTGCAAGAGTTTTTTTTTAATAGTTTGCTCAATATAACGCCATTAAATTTAGTGAAAACTTTTATTTATTGCATTGAATTTCTGGGAAATGATGCGTGTTAAATCGAATCACATATTTTTGCTCACGGTGCTCGATATGTATCTAATAACAAAGTTTTAAATATCTATTTAAACAATATTGAATTTCATTAATTTTGTTTAATCGATCAAAGGAAGTCGTTCTGGATCCCCTCAACAGTCAAAGTCTCAACGGAGCTCAAGACATTCAAGTTTATCATCGAATAGCAGTCGCAGTCGCAGTAACAGTCCCAATTCTAATTTCCGTAATAGCGGCCCAAATATTAGCCATGAGGAATTGAGCGATGTAAGCGATATGGAGAGTGAGAAACGTGGTTCTGCTTTGAATAGTAGTAAACAATCTATCGAAGATGACGCCACAAATGTTTCTTCTGCATCAATTAATTTAGATCACGAAGAAGAACAGAAAGAAACGAACGCAGAACGACGGTTCTCTTTAGAAACAGATAATAGCCAGAATGCAGTTATAACCGATTTACGTCAAAAGTTGGACTTGATTAAAACCCATGGAAAGGTATTTATTTATATAATTAAAATTGAAATAATTTAGGAGAAATGGTATTTATTTAAAATCACTTTGATTAATACATTTCAATTTTCAGACCTCGGAAGCTACAAAACCACAAGAAGTACCAACTGATGTAGTCGAAAACGACAGAAAAAGTGATCCTATTGAGGGTTTGGTCAAGCCTAATGACGAAGATGCTCTCGACTTTGAAGCTGAAGAAGGCGAGTGTCAAGATGCCAGCAAAGATGATGAGAAACCAGCAGATGAGCAGGAAAATGGAATTGGCAATGATAAGGAAAAAAATTCAAAATCTGATGGCGAAGCTGAAGAAGGCGAGGAGCTGGAAGAAGGTGAAGTGTCAGATGAAGACGAGAAACGGCCGGAAGAAACTGAGCCAAAACCAGTATGTCGTTTTTATACCCGTGGCCAATGCACGTGGGGCATGAGTTGCCGCTTTCTTCATCCTGGTGTCACTGACAAGGGAAATTACACCATGTTTGATTTAGTTCGCCCTGTACCGGTAACACAAACAGGTCCATCTTCTTCTCGGCCTGCCAATTATCCCAGTCATGCAGTCGACTATCACGATTTTCGCTCTGAACGCCCTTCAATGCATCAACGTTTGGGGTTGCAACATCCCCCCTCAGTTTATAGTGCGCACCATGATCCTAGAGCCGCGGCAGCAGATGGACCCGTAGTTATTGAAAGTGCTTGGGAACGGGGATTGCGAACAGCTAAAGAAATGATGCGCAAGGCAAATAAAAGGAAAGAGCAAGACATGGATTTTGAGGATAAGAAAATGAATTTGACTTTATCTCCGGATGAAATTGAAAAGGATGCTTATTATTTGAAAGAAAGGAGTTCTCCCCAAGACGTACGCACATTTCATGATATTTTTAATTTTAGCAGTTTCTAAATATTATTTACTTATAGATTGCTCCACCCTACAGCCGACACGGCTTATATCAAGAACCACTGGGCATGTATAGTCCAACTGAGCGATTTCCTCGTGGTCCTCCAATTCCGTCAACATATGATGATGTGGATTCGTATGGGCGTTCTACAAGATATCGCGAGCTGCCACCTCATCGTATGCCGCAATATGAGGACGAAAGGCGAGTTCGTCCTACCCGAGAAGTGATTGTGCAGCGTGTTGAGCCTGTTGGTCGTGGTGATGAATGGCGAGACCCATGGATGAGATCTCCTGGCATACGTGGAGAATCACGAGATCATACTAGCAAGCGTCGACATGATCGACGTAGCTATAGCAGCAATTCATCATATTCTTCTTCAAGCAGTTCACGATCAGATTCAAGTTCGGATAGCAGTCGTTCAACTACTCCAGCAGGCCACAGACGTCGTTATAACAGTTCCCATAAGGTGTCTCCTGCACGCAGACATGGAATGCGTTCCGCAAGATCACCAAGCATTCCTCGCCGTCCACGACATTCACCAAGTATGTAGTCGTTTGAATTGTACCACTTTTTTAACTAAAAGTTTATCAACACTTCCAATTCTATTTATGATAGCGAAAACGACACTGAAAACTCATTATTTTATTTTTTTTTATTTTTCTTGCTTTTCTAAAAATCACAGAAAAAGTATTAAATATAATAATATATATAGATAAATTACATATCAAAAAATACTTGCATTGAATTAAATTTTTAATTTATATTATCTCTTAGGTACACGCCATTCTCCAAATGTGAAGAGAAAAGGTACTTTATCTCCGACTCTAGAAAAGAGAAGTGCATATAGTCCAGTGCACAAGCGAAAGAAACTTATAGCAGCCACAAAAAAATCGGACAAATCGAAATCAAGGCATCGAGTATCCTCCAGTTCTTCTGGTTCAGGTATTGACATAATTGTTCTTTGATTTACCCTTTAATAATTAATCAAAAATGCATGATAAGTGTGCCCGAAAAAAAAAATTAGTTTAGAGCCGGACTCATAAGCGAAACAAAAATACATCCTTCTCCTCATTCTTCCTACAAAATTTCTCTTAAAAATTATAGTAGAATGAAAATACTTAAATTTGACAATTTTGTGTTTCGCATTCTATACAATTTGTGTTGTTTTCAAACATGGAATAGCCATGTTCTTTATAAATATAAAATGTTTGAGGCCACTTCAAAAGATACATAGCCTTTTGATGCTTTTTTTTTATTAAATATTTAAAACATCTAATGTCTAGCATAGAGCAGACGAATACGACAAAGCACTCCATAAAGTTGTCCTTCACTCACGTTCATTAAAATTTGGTAAAGACCTTCAGAAGCTGTGATGAGGTCGATAAAGCAATGATAGAATTGCGAATAAACAAATGAGACTGAGAACGATAGTGGTCTCCGCATAACCACCTCTGCATTGAATTAAGTTATTGGGTTATATTAGTCAAGAGTTATTGGTTATAAGACTATGCAAAATATTGGTTTCCACTCGTTTTCTCATAGGGCAGAAAGAATTTCTAGTTGCTTTCTATAAATTTGAATGTGTGCAAAATATATAATTGACTTCAATTACTTGTAGCCAAATTGTGATATTTTTATAAGTGAAAAAATTTGCAGCACTATCAAAAACAGATAAATTATGAAAACAATAAACAGACAGGCAGAATCACGAAATTCAATCAATTTCTCATTTGCCAGAATCGATTTAAAGATTGATGGGACAATCACCTCCTTACCATGGTTGTAATACAATACTCATAATATTCAATTACTCAATAATATCAATGGTCACAAAATATATAATACATAGAATACATGATTTCTTAACGTATCTTTTAATGTCAAATCACATTTAAAAAATATTAAAATTCTCGACGTAAATATATATTTATTTTTAGTTTAAAAATTGTGGATTTTTTTTAGCAAAAATTGACAATAATGGCATTTTAGGTAGTATCTAATCGCTTATAAATAAGTTAAAGGTTTAATTTTTTCATGTTGTTGTTGTTGTTGTTGTAACCGCAAGTTATTCCCCGAATTGGTTTTCGGGAAATATTGCGGGAGTGACAGTCCTTGGCTGGATAAAAAATCCGGGTCGTTCCGGTATAAAGACCCGACTGTCGCGGGAACTATTGGATTTTAGTCGCCTCTTACGACAGGCATGCCTTACCACGGGTAAATTCTTGAGCCCCTAACCCGCAGGGATCTAATTGGCGGTTCGGTATCTCTCAGTTGAAAAGGTTGGCTACAACCCTCAATTGTGGCAACGTATAATTTGAATACTATACTATATATATGAAACAAACAAAAATGAATCAACAAAACAAACAAGAAAAACATACATGGTGTGAAAACTATAAACAAAAAACAACTTCAACGATCACTTTCTAATTAATTTTTTCATAATTATCAACGGTTATTTTATTGTCATAACTAAACTAAATAAGTCGATAATATTTTCCTGCTTTGCACATGTTTGGAGTGAATAAATTATATCTTTTTGTTAATTTCAACTTTTTTTCATTTCAGGTTCGTCTGACTCTAGTGATTCTGATTCAGACACTGCTTCTTCCAGTTCTGACAGCTCGTCCATGTCTAGGGAACGGCCTAGCAAACGTGCTAGAACTTCGGAAAAATTAGTGCATGAACGTAGAGGTGTGAAGAAAGGTATGCAAGAAATCCAATGGTGACCAAAAATTACGTCTTGTATTAGGTTTTCTTATTTTGTTGTGATCTATGTGCATTTCTTATATCAGCAGCATATAAACCAGGGTTTTAATGTTAGACTGTGTATGATGAGAAGATTTAAGGAGGACTTTCGACACTGCGCCCAGTTCATTGTCTACATTGTTTAGCGCTGAACGCCGTTATATACAATTCGTTAAGAACCAAATATGACGAATTTTTTTTTAAACGACTTCTCAGCTCTTTAGAGCTTGCTCAACTAAAGTTTTAAAAGTTTTGATAGTTAACTACTGAGGTGCATTTATCATTTGGAGACAAAACGCATGATCTAACATAGTTAGTCGTTAGTCGTGTTGGGTAAATTTTTTAAATGAAAGTCACCTATTAGTATTAATAGGGAATCTAAAATTCTAAGTTGTATTGCTTTTCAAATAACAATAGTGGTAAATTGTTAATTAAGTCAATGTGGCATATATTTATATATATATTGTTATATTTTCAGCGGAGCCAACTAAAAAAAGATCACCAATATCTATTGAAATAAAGAAACAGCCCACAGTAGGAGTATCAGCACTTGCTTCATCACCCACTCATTCGATAAATTCAGAAAAGGATCTGAAAAAATCTCGACGAGAGGAACTATTAAAGCAACTACGAGCTGTAGAAGATGCTATTGCGAAAAAAAGATCTAAACTTAATTGATTTATTGGTCGGAAAAGTAAAGACACAAGAAAGTAATATAGTAAAAGTATATCAAGTACGGTCTTTATGATATATATGTAAGTGTATTTGTAGAAAAATATTTGGTATAATGATAATACTTCGAAATATGAATAATAAAATGTAGAATATAAAATAGAATGGGTTTTGGTAATTATAGCCCATCATATGCTACCATGCTATATTGAAAAACATATGTCTGTATGTAGTTTTGTGATTAAAAACTATATTTTTTTTCATTAAAAATCAACGGATCTAATAAAGTATAAATAAAGTATAAAGTAAAGATGTATTCTAGTGGTTATTAGTTTTTATGTCAAACATACTTAAACGGATTGGAATACACTGCCGAGCGATGAAGTTGAGATGTTGATGTGAGTTGTAGCAAGCTGAACTACCCATTCGGCTTATGCAGTCGCATCTAACAGTTTTCATATGAAATATAAAAGTTAAAACACATTTATAGAAATGTTTTTTTATCGTTCATCGTCTGACCAGTAGGAAAATGTGTGATGTGGGAGGAACGCATACACTTATTTACCTTTTGCAAGGGGATGTGTGACGTAAGTAAGAATATGATGATACAAGTTCTTGAGGACTGAGAAAATGTTATGCGTGGGGATGAAATCGTTGAGGAGAGGAATGGTCAGTTTGAAGATATGGCCTTGGTTGTTGTTGTTGTTTTAGCGGTTCGATAACCCCGCTTGGGTACAGGTTTGATCAATTTAAGTCGCCGAGGTCATCTAGTGGGAGCTCCAGGAGTCTGTTTAAGGGGCCATGTGAAGAGGTGGTTAGTGTCATGTGGGGACTATCCACATGCAGGGCATACGTTGGATGTGCTGAGTCGAGTCTGGATAAGTAAGAGTTTAACCTGCTACAGTATCCAGACCTAACTTGTGCCAAGGTCACGCGGGTTTCTCGAGGCAGCTCGAGCTCATTGTCTGCAATGGGTGTAGACTGACTCCTGGTGAATGGCGTTCAGTGCCTGTGTATTGCTGGATGGTGTTTTTCATGTTCATGTGCATAGGTGGTGGTTCAGCTTCGATAAGATGCCTATTGCGATGTTCCCTGCAGTAGCATATCAATAGGAATTGCTTGCACAGCAAAGCGTTATGCTCCTTAGCTTTTAGCATAGATGCTTCTGAGTGTATATGATGCTCCGGCGACATCTGAAGGTTTCTTTTCGCGGTCCTGAGGGCGGTGTTCTGGAAAGCCTGTAGCTTCTTCATCTGCGTCTCGTTTGTTCCCGGCGCCTATATCGGTGCAATATAGTTTACGACCGGCCGGCCAATTGCTTTGTAAGTTGCCAGAAAAGCTTCTTTGTCTTTACGGCATGTGTGGAGTTTTGCGGCAATTGCAGTCATATTCGGAGTGAAGGAGAGCAGGCTATCTAGTGTTACTCCTAAAATCTTTGGGTCGGAATTTTACGGCATCGACCTTCCCACCTTATTCAAGCCTGTACTTGTTTTCGTCAAGCTCGTGAAGAGGGTAGCCGAGGATTTGGTCGACTGTATTTTCAATTGTCGTGGAGTGAAGAAGTGAGAAAGATCGACAAGGTAGCAGGTTAGGGAGGGAAACTCCTGGTGGAGGAGGGAGTTGCGAAATGCAAAAATTAAACAGTAGTGGGGAGAGCACACAACCCTGCGGAACGCCCTGTTTAATTTTTCTGGATTTCGATGTTTTACCTCGTAGTATTACCGATGATTGTTGACCACTCAGGTAGCCCAGAGCTAGGTTGCCCCAGAGCAGGCAGGTCCTTAAGTGTTCTTCCCACTTTTTCCGCTTGTGGTTGTTCACTACTCTGCGAATCTCGGATAATTGGGGCAGATTTCCGCCATTTGGCCTGTCGGAATGATGCGTGCGAAAGCGGCTCACGACGACCCATCGGAATTACGTTCACCAGTAGTGACCTCTGATGGAGTGGGGCAGTGCTCTCCGTCCTGGGTGAATCCCGCGAAGCCGGAACAGTCAGCTTTTTTAAAGTTTTAAAGTTGGAGTGTGTTGCTGCTGTGATGTTGGTGTTGGTTGACGGTAGAGTTGAAACAATCGAGGGTAGACTGCTATAGCACGGGGCAACGTACGTATCACTCCACTCACGGCTGGTGCGCAGGACAGAGCACGTCCGAAAAAGGCACCAGCCAGAGCAAGAGATGCATCTGAATGATGTCATTTTCCGACGCACTATGGTCTGACACTCGGAACGGACTGTGCCGAGGACTAGGAGCTGCTCGGTAACTTTCACTCCGGAGGAGGAGTTGGTTGTGGGTAGGGATGGTTGGTGGGAGTCATTCTGCGGGGAGCTCCTCGAGCCTTCCGAATGTCAGAACGCAATGCTAACCACTCGGCCACCGGCTGGTACACGCAGCAGAAATAATCCGTCGGACCAGGGTTGGTTTCAGTTGGTTGGTATTTTAGTTGGACACTTATGAATGCCCCCGTGCATTGTCCTGAATGGTGTTAAAAACTTGTAGTTTGTCTTGTTTAAAAAAATGATAATTTAAAATAATTAAAAAAAAAAGTGAAATAACAACTAAATTTTAATAAGCGACTCATCTATTTCGACTCTTTTCGTTCGTTTTTACTGCAATGCGTGTAAAACAAAACTCAACTTAAGCACAGCTTGGCAACTCTATCAAATAAAATTTGGCTTCCAATCCATTATGAATTTAATACTTTGTATAAATTAATGCAGTTGCGTTTACGAAAGCAGGAATGGTTTCGATCCAGAAATCACCGATGCGTTAAAACTAGATTTAATGCAACCTTGAAAATCCAAATTTTGAACTGTGCTAAATGGAATAAAATCGTGTAAAAAATTTTAAATTGTTTATTATCGAACCGTGTAAAAACAGAAGAGATTACCAAAAGTTCGGTTAGTTGGTGACTTTAAATTTGTTTTTGTAAAATCTGAAAATACCAAACCCCTCGCAGTTACTTTAGTAGCGTTTCTTTCAAATTTTAGAACGATCTGCTAAAATGGAAACGATAAAACGTAAAATAGCTGAGGACAGATCAGACGAAACTCCACCACCAACGAAAACAGTAATTCGCCATGTGATTTTCTTCTGGGTTCGGCGTAATTTACAGCGAATACATATATACAGTGAATGCCGAATTGCATTTGGAACGAATGCACCTTCTTTAAAGACTATTTTTAAGCGGTTCCGAAGATTCCAGACCGGACATTTTTCCGTAGAGGACGAGTCCCGAGAAGGTCGACAAAAATCTTCCACTGATGACGTCAGGGTAGCTCTGGTGAAGTCCAAGAGATGATTGCTAATTAATATATAGTATTAGTATTTTGTTATATTAATTAATCATCTGGGATACACGAATAAATCTGCTCGATGGGTACCACAAATTTTAAATGGGGCATAAAAAGGGGGTTGGGTGCGTTTCGTTCAATTTTTTCCAAACAAATGCGAAAATGGTTAATCTAGCAACTTAAGTAAAGTCGTTATGGGTGACGAGGCTTGCATCCAGAAACCAAACAGCAGTTTATAGAAAGATCCCGAAAGGAGCAAACCTTTTCGTAAAATCTAAGCAACAAAAATCAGCAGCAAAAGTAATGATGCCAGTTTACTTCACCCGGTCTAAAACCGTAGCTGCTATTCCACATATTCCACTGGAAAAGAATGAGACATTAACTGCAAAATGGTACACCGAAAGTTTTAAGGTTTTTTTTTTTGAAAAATAGGAAGAAATAGGATTTGCGGCGCTACTTTTTACATCATGACAACGCGCCATCTCACACTGCTGAAATAACGAGTAATTTTATTGCGATCTCTGCGAGTGAAGAAATACGTCCAGCGCCATATTTTCCGGATATTACACCTTGTAATTTCTGGTGTAATGGGGTGTAGTCAAGCTTCTGGGTATGCTGTTGCAGCTGCGAGGCTATACTCAATTCCTTCTCTTGCGTCCACGTCGCGCACCCTGGAAGCGTGAGCAACCCTTATGAGAGAGGAAGCTTCAGTGGAGCCACTCCGACTTATTCGGTTTAAGGGCCTGCGGCTCGCTAAATAAATGTGTAAAAAAAAACTTTAAACTTATTTGTCTAGCGAGGTTGAGCTCCAATGAAAAATTTGGCAACGCCTCGGATGAGATACCCACATTCTGTAGACGACCCCCGCAAACGAATTAGCGATCACGATTTGAGGGCATGCACCTGGAATGTCCGGTCCCTTAATTGGAAAGGTGCCGCTGTCCAGCTGATTGATGCCCTCGTAAGAATAAAGGCTGACATCACCGCCGTCCAAGAAGTGCGATAGACGGGACAAGGACGCAAGGGAGTTGGTTCTTATGGCATTTATGGTGTTGGATTTGTGGTGGGAGCCCACGACACGACGTGAAAATCGTGCTTGACGACTTTTATGCCAGGGTGGGCAAAGATGGTATCTTCGGTTCGACTATTGGACAGTTCAGCCTTCAGAACGAAAAATTTCCTAAACGACTTCGCCGGGGCCAGAAATATGGCTGTCTGTAGTACTAGATACCAGCACAAAAAAAAGCTACTTGGCTGTTCCCTTATCGATAAACACAAAACCAGATCGATCATGTTGTGATAGACGGAAGACATGTATCCAGTGTTCTTGACGTGCGTACACTCCAAGGACTCAACATCGATTCGGACCATTATCTTGTTGCAGCGAAGATACGCATGCGATCTGAGTATCGAATGCCCGTCAACAAACACAAGGAAAGTTCGACGTTGAAAAGCTGCAAACACAACAGACTGCCGAACGATTTTCTACTCGACTTGCACTCCTGCCCTCAGAGAGCACTCATCAGCAACTCGGTATACGGGACCTGTGGGACGGCATTGCAAACTTCCTACTTACAGCTGCATACGAAACTATTGGATTTCGTGAAGATTGCAAAAACAGCTAATACGATGACTACAATCGATGACGATGGAAGAGACGTTCTATTAAATGACCATGAAGAAGTTCGTATAGCAATCGCCCGCTTAAAAAATTACAAAGTGTCGGGAGCTGACGGCCTACCGACAGAGCTATTCAAACATAGCTGACAAGGTGTATGCATCAGCTACTTTGCAGAATATGGTCGGACGAAAGCATGCCCGACGATTGGAAGAGTGCTCTGCCCAATCCATAAAAAAGGTGACCCTACAGTCTGCA